TTTTTGGTCTTTATTTTCTTGATTTTCTCCTTCCGTTTACCATTTAAATCCTCTCGCACGCTATCTTAAGTAGAATTTAAAGGTGAACCGTGATCACTATGCATCATGGCTTGTTCGTTTGGGTGGAAGTAGGCTGGTACTCCTCTCACTCTTGGTGTCTCTTTAGCTTTTTTTCCTCTCAACAAATATCTCTATTTGATTGATTGTAAAATATCATCGTGTTTGCTTCCAGATTAATGGTATTGCAAATGGTATTGGTGTTGGTGTGCACTTCAACCCCTTTGTTTCCGTGAATAAGAAGGTACCGAGCATTTATATAACTGATAAGTTTCATCTACGAATTCCAGCGTAGAAATCTTATCTGTGTACCTTCAGTAGATGTTCAAGTACGGAGTTGTTCAAGTGCATCACTTGATTGAAGATTTAAAGGGATGGGACAGGTTCTACATGAGTGGTCGTTTGCAAAAACCAGTATGCCTCTTGACATGTTATATTCTTACCTTTTACTTACACTAGGTGTTACTGTTTTATGTCTAGTCATGGCTCTCCCCCAACACACACACACCACCACCACCATTAAACCGATGGAACTATAGCTTCTCTTTCCTAGACATTTAGAGAATGGTCATATCCAAGTACAATATATGAACATCAAGGGAAATATGATATTGTTAGGCATTCAAATGTTTTTTTTTTCAGAATATATATGTGAAATTTTAAAGAGAAGAAATGCTTCATAAGAATTACAGAAGTGTAATGTTAAGAATCAGTAAACTTGTTGCACTGATTCTTGTTTTAAATTTTGGTGGAAGGGTTTTCATGTCACATAATATAATCTTGTTCTCAACTTTTCTTTATAATTCTGGCAACATAAAATTTTATCATCTTCTTATATATGATAACAACTCATCTCTGCTAGCCTGCTGACTTCTTCTAGTGTGCAAAATTTATCTAGTTCATTGTGTGATCACTGTTCCTACTGAGTGATCATCTTGCTCATCTCAGGTCAATATTATTGTGGATAATTTGAATATTGAAAATGTAAACGCTGTCAATTTGAGAGCTGCTGCATCTGCTGCTCTCCTCCTTTTGCCGTCTGAGTTCAGTGAGGTTAGTCTGTATGGTAAATTAGTAATATTCCCAAAACCTTGTTGCAAATGGAAAGTGTCACTTCTGTTAGGTGCTCATGCAGGAAGACTTTTATGCCAAAATCTGTAGCCTGTCATATATGGGTGACTTGCGTATGCTTTTTGCGGAGGATAAAAATAAGGTATGTGGATGGTTGAAGCAAAGATTTTAGAACGTTCTTGAAAGAAAGAGTAATGTTTAGTATCACCTGGCATGTAAGATCTGGAATAAGATGGTGTCGTTTGATTGCTTTACAGTATGCATGTATCATATGTGCATCAAATCATCAGGAACATCTAGTTAATTACCGTAGTATAAGTTATTGCCCTTTTGGTTTAAATTGCGCTATAAGAATAACACTAAGAATAAAGACATACTACTGAACTTGGGAAAATAAACTTCGCTGCAAAATATATAAATATGTAAAGTAAAACTAGTTAACTGTCAATTATATTTCACTAAATTACTATTTTTACACAATGAAGTTAAAAGTTTTAGGCAGTAAATGCAGCAATGAATAATGGGTCTAATGGAAACAACCTCTTGTACCCAATGGAGTTGGGATTATACAAGGGTTTGTTGTATTATTTCTTTAAATATAGTATTCAAACTTACTGTAGTATCTGTTCTTCCAAGTTCTGCTACCAGTGTATTATGATTATTAGTTTTCAAGCAAATGTTTGTAGAAGTTTGGACTGGTTTCATGTCTCTTTATAGAACATCATTTGACATATGATTACCAATTCTGAGTGATACATTGACATTAGTATTATATTTATATTTTTTATTACCATATCCCTAGGTGAAAAATATTGTACAAGGACAATTTCACTTATTCCAAAGAATTTATAGACCATTTCTAGATGAATTTTCTGACAATGGCATGCTGAGATTTTCAGCAACCGGTGAGAATCAAGCTACTATGACTCAGGTATCTCTACAATGCCTCAAGCTTTTGGATTGCTTTCATCTTATTACGTCCGGCCGGGATTTTTGCTAATATTTGTTTTCTACTGCCATAATTTGGTAAATAGAAAATATCTAATGCCACCAACTTAGTACTACAATATCTTTTCTTTCATATGTTAATAGAGGTTTAAACACAGCTCTCTGCACTCTTTATATCCTATTGCATACTCTCTTCAAAACTTTTGCCTAACAAACTATTCGTTGAAAATTTGTCTCTTGGTTTTATTGTTAAGAAGCTCTTGCCTGCATCTTAACCAGCTACCCACACATTCTCTCCATACTATACAAGTTCATTTTTGTTGTTTATATGTTAGTTGTTACAAACTACTACTTCCGTCTCAATCAGAAAATGCACACATTTTATGGTGCATTGACAATTGGGTTGAACAGATTTATTTATCGGGAAAAATGACTACTCGGGTATTTGATAAGATGTGGGGTAGAATTTATCTTAGGTAGTTTGAAGGGTGAAACTGGGAAAAATGACATTTCACTAGTACAAACCTGCACAATCAATGTTTTTGCATAACATAGTTTGGGGTGCATTGGCATTGTAAACCAGGATTCCGGACTATCTGCTACCTCTATCTTGGTGTCACACCTTCCGCCGCTCCTTAAAACCAAAATAGAGACTAATCTTGCTGGGTTCAAACAACTTCATAGCACTGGTATGTGTTTCAATCTGTTCTGAGAATCTTCTTACACTTTTAATTGGGCATCTTCTTTCTGTACACCTCTATGTCTTGCTCTGGAGTCTGGTGTCTGGATGCAGTTGTAATTTGAACACCATAATAGAGCTGTTTGATGTTCTTGTTTCATCAGGAATGACGCGACAAGACACGGCGATTCACTCAAAAGCAGAGGCCGCGAAATGGGCTAGTAAGCACATCAGGCAAAGGGTAATGGTGTCGAGCGGAAGACAGGCGGCTGCAGGTATACTGGCTGCTGGTGCAGTCCATGGGTTCAGATACCTGGGAAACAAGATCCTCAAGTCTGCCAAATCTTGGACATAATAGTCTTATCATCTCACCTCTGGATTTCACTTTTTTTGCTGCCCTTTGCTAATCTCACACACAGCTTCCCCTTAACAAATGGCTATGTTTATTAACAAGGGCTTTGTTGGTCCAAATGTGTTATTGATTCCATAGAGTAGGGGTGGTAAAAATGTGTGTTTCAACAAAGTTGAGATTATCTTGGATTATTGTATATTACTCCCTCCGTCCCACTGTGTTTGTCCACTTACCTTTTGGCACACCATCCAATGTACTTCTTTAATCCATTTTATCTTGTAATTTGTATATTAAAAAATTATACAAATTATATATTAATAATCTATATATTAAGACGAATCAAACAAGATCACAATGACTATTTTTAGGCTTACACATTAAGAGAATTTGATGAGTCAAAGTGCTTAGATGAACAGTTCCAAAAGTCAAATGTGGACAAAGACAATGTGACGGAGGTAGTATTCCGTATTTCTCTATTTTTTGCATCAATTTTAATAAGATTATTTCACGTTTTTATACAATCATGCCGATTTTTTTTTGTGCCTGGGGGGGGCCTATGGAAACAGCCTCTTTGCTTTTAGTGGGGGATACACACACCCTCCTGACCTGGTCTTGTGTAATTCTATTCGGTTGTTGTTGTATACAATCATGTTGATTTTGGTATGGAATTTCATTTTTGGATTGTCCATATTTTTTTTTGTTTCCTTTACCACGGCACAATCTCTATTCCGGCTTGGATGGAGATTTTGGCAAACTTCATCAACAACTTTATGTTGGTGAAGATTTGAGCAACAACGAAGATGGAGGTGATGTAAGAAAAAGAACATGGAGAAAGAATAAAGACCTCAACTTTCCTTAATATTTGTTAAAGCGGGAAAAAATATAAATGAACGGAGAGATTATTTGAAAAGTGAAAAAGAAGACCGGTGTGAACTTTGGGCTTTCATATATTGCTTTCACAGGAGTAATTTGTTGGGCGCCCGTGCACTGAATTGCGGGCCACAAGGATCCCCCCAAAGAGTCCATGATCAATCAAGTACTTTATATTTCATTCTGTAAATCACAAAACGTCATATTTTGGTTTCTAAGAGACCACAAATAAAAACTTTTAAAAAACATATTTTTCTTTTGTTAAATTTAGTCGGTATAATTTGTGCTTTTTTTGTTATATTGTTACTTTCACAAAATATGGAATGAAGAAGACCGGCAGTCATAACCAAATTAGGCAAAAGAATGGATCAACAATGAAGCAAAAACATGTTACGGTGTTACCATAGGAACCAATAATATTCTCTGAATGACCCAAAAAAGAGAATGTCTAAAATAACATCAGTTACTTTTACACCAATTTACACCAGTTCGTTTGGGACACCTACAGTTCTCTGTTTGTAGAAATGACGATTCCTATCCCCCCACACCCTAGCCCCCATCCTGACAGTATATTAGGGTGGGGCTGGAGGGTTTTGGGGGAGGGTTAAGAGGGTAGGAACTGGTGTAAGGAAATGACATCAGTAACACTGGTGTCATTTTAGACTTATTCAAAAAAATGTCACAAATTTAAAAATGAAAATGTACTTGTATTGAGAACATTTTAGTTCTAATTACACGGTGTGACATGAAAACAGACAACAAGCTCTAGGCTAGGCAGGGATTTTAAGAACATATTTAGACATAGAAAAAAAAAGTACTCCCTAAGCAAGGGTGTGTAAAACCAGATGCGTAGAAAATTTAAAGGTTCGAGTTAACTGATAAAGCAGATACTTATTTCGGTGCCGTTCCGTTGACCGTGCAAATTAGTGTCAACAGATGACACTGGGCACCTACGATATAACATTCCATTTTGAATCATACTCAATTACTCATTCAACTAAGATCATTTACAAAAAGCACATAAAACCTGCATCTTAGCCTCTTGTGTTAGAAAAAAAACCTGGTTTAGAAGAGCTAGGACAAGATAAGAAGCACTACCTTGGGTAAGTCATAAGTTGGCATACTTGCTCTTGACTTCAATCTTGGACAAGGGAATCCCCTTTCCTCATTTCTATTTCTATCTGTTTCATAGGATAAATCTTTTGGGTTTACAAGCCCAGCCCAAATCACAGCAAGCCAATCTGGCCCTCTACATGGCCCATTACTGCCCGGGACACGGTCTTGGTCGGCTTTGAGCACCTCGGGTTTTTGTTGGCCAGGCCCAATCTCCAACTTGACTCAACATCTCTTCGGTGCTGTAACACAGAATTTCTGTCCTATCGCAGATTCATTGCCTTTAAGTGCACGTGGTTTTTTTGTGAAGATGAGTGGACGTTGGATGCATCTTACCCTGTATAAACAGACATCACTTGTAAGCAATATTGTACTTCATCAAAGACACTAACACTATGTTTGGTTCAAGGAAATTGGAAGGAAAAGAAAAGAAAACGGTTTCCCTCAATTTGCTTACCAAAATGGGAGGTATTTGGTTTTCTCTCATCTTAGTACATTTTGCCTTCTCATTTTCTTTTCCTTCCACTTTTCTTTTCTTTTCCTCTCTAGCCAAACAAGAAAAATGCTTTCCTTCACATTTTCTTTTCCTTTCCCTCTCAAATCCTTAACACTATGTTTGGTTCAAGGAATTTGGAAGGAAAAGAAAAGAAAATGGTTTTCTCTCATTTTCCTTACCAAAATGGAAGGAATTTGGTTTTCCCTCCACTTGGTACATTTTGCCTTCTCATTTTCTTTTCCTTCCACTTTTCCTTTCTTTTCCCCTCTAACCAAACAAGAAAAACGGTTTTCCACTTCATTTTCTTTTCTTTTCCCTTTCAAATTCCTTGAACCAAACATAGTGTAAACCAAGCATAGTGTAAAGCAATATGTGTCTTCCCTCTCCCTCTTACCTTTCATATCTCCAGTTCATAAATCAAGACCGCTAGCCATTTATCTCCATGAGGTCCATCATTTCAGATTTCCTTAAACTTTGAATATTCATTTCCAATGAAAAGTATCGGCTCAAGTCCCCAGACAATCTTTTTACAGAGAGATCTGACCAAAAAAATGTCAGAAGCTGTCAAGCAAGCTGCTTCTGTCAGGTTCGACAAAACACTAGCAAGTAATGCAAACCTGCTATGTTAGGAGTAGTATTATTATCAGAAACAGTTCTTGAGTTTCCAGCAAGAAGCTCGAATTTTTGTAACATGCATCAGGCAATGAAATAAAGCAATCAAATAAAACCACTTTATGACTACATCACATGGACTGAGCAACGGGTATACTGGAAATCAATTGCATTGAATTACACCATTGAATGACCAAATAGAGCTGGAAGAACATCCGCATTTCATGTTAAATGTAGACCGTGCTGATTTTTTTAGGAAAAAAACCAGAGGAGGCAATTTCGCTTCATTTAAAAAAACTTGTATTAATTCAAGGGGGAGAGTAAAAAGTTTTTTATGTAAAGAATGCTGCCAAAGAAGGAAGTCGTCTCACCTATAGAGTAGTCAAAGGAAGAGGTCATTCCAGCACTTGTCTATGGCTACTCGAACCTTCTTTCGTTTCAATAGTTCTCTAACAACTTTATCCAAAGTTGACAGGTTAGGGTACAAAGCCTTTTGAAGCATAACTTCTATAACATTCGATGCCCCAACAACTCTTTGTCTCTTGTGTAACCGCACCACTAGCTCGTCCAAAAANGCCAAATAGAGCTGGAAGAACATCCGCATTTCATGTTAAATGTAGACCGTGCTGATTTTTTTAGGAAAAAAAACCAGAGGAGGCAATTTCGTTTCATTTAAAAAAACTTGTATTAATTCAAGGGGGAGAGTAAAAAGTTTTTTATGTAAAGAATGCTGCCAAAGAAGGAAGTCGTCTCACCTATAGAGTAGTCAAAGGAAGAGGTCATTCCAGCACTTGTCTATGGCTACTCGAACCTTCTTTCGTTTCAATAGTTCTCTAACAACTTTATCCAAAGTTGACAGGTTAGGGTACAAAGCCTTTTGAAGCATAACTTCTATAACATTCGATGCCCCAACAACTCTTTGTCTCTTGTGTAACCGCACCACTAGCTCGTCCAAAAAAACTCTCGCACTCTCAAGTGGATTCAACTTCCCGTTCAAACTTTTCAAGAAAATGTTACATGTAACTGAATCAGGGTCACACCCTTGATCCAACATAGTATTTAAAAGATCAATGGCATGTGAAATTCTATCTTGCTTGCACAAAGCACTAAAAAGTATGTTGTATGTTATCACATCAGGTCGACTTCCAGATTCTCCGCATGACATCTCATGGAAAAGTTTTAGTCCTCCTTCGACTGACCCGGAATTGCAGAGACCAGATATCATTGAAGTGTATGACACGACATCAGGTTTCCACCCGGTGCTCATCATTTGCTTCCATACCAAGTTTCGTAGAGAGTGAAATGGTTGGAGTGTGTCAGGCACCTAATCATGTGACATTGTTTGAAGTAAGCCATTTTGAAAAACCAGACGGTATAGAAAGGTGTTGAGGTTCCGGAGTAACGAAAATGAGTAAAACTTTTTTGGGAAGTAGTCCCTTGATATACATATACGTAAACCTCACGTTAGGCGTAACTAGTATACAAACAGTATCTCCTTTGCCTCATCGGGCCTACCTTCCTCGCACAAGCCATCTATAAGAGCAGAATAAACAACTGTGTTAGGTTTTCTTCTTCCCTTCTCAACCATTTCCTTCCATATTTTCATTGCCTCTTCGGGTTTTCTCTCCTTGAAAAACCCGCTGATTAGCGAAGAGTAAACATATTCGTTTGCTTCATATCCCCTTTCCTCCACTGCTTTCAAGATTTGTGCACCGTCGGCGACTCTTCCTTTCTTGACAAGACCATCAATGATAGTCCCATATGTTATATCGTTAGGGACGTGCTTGCTAGAAACCATCCTATGCAACAAGCTAATCGCCTTCTCCAGCTTCCCTTTAAGACACAACCCGTGTATGAGCGTGTTGTACGTCACTTCATTAGGAACACCCCCTTTGAGGAACATATTATCCACAAGCTTCGCGGCTCGGACTAAATCACCCTTCTTACAGAGCCCATTGATCAAAACATTGAAAGTCGGCGGAGTGGGGAAACATCCCTCTGTTTGCATTTCATCCAACAGAGAAACAGCTTCCTCAATCCTATCTGCCTTACATAACCCGTCCATCAAAGTGCAATACGTATAAACATCCGGATTACATTCCCACTCAGGCATTTCCCTGAACACATCCACTGCTTTGTCCACCATACCCAGCTTACACATTGCTTTAACAATCAAGTTAAATGTCAACACATTTGGCACTGAAACCCTCCTATCTACAACAATGTCAGAATAAAACTGCAACGCGAGATTAAATTCACCGGACTGTATAATCACATTAAGAACCGAATTAAATGACCTAACGGTCGGTCTACACTGAAACTCAACCACCATTCTTTCATAAAGATCAATGGCTTTATCGGGCAGGCGCGCTTTCCCATAAGCCCTAAACACTAGGATGAAACTCTTCTCCAGGAAGACTCTCTTCTCGCGCCTCATCCTATCGAAAACCTCTTCCAGAGACTTGAAGTCCCCGGAGTTGGCGTAATTCTTGATGAGAGAATAAAAGGTGGAGTCGCCCTGCTTGTGAGAGCCCGATCTGGGGGCGAGAATGAACAGTTCATCGGAAATTGGGGGATCTCTCCGGACGGGGTGAAGATCCAGATGTTGAATCGGACTTTGGTTGTCTTGCGATTCCGATGGACTGGGAAGGGATGAAAAGAGGCGACGAATGAGAGGGAAGGGGAAGAAGAAGAAGAAGATCTTACATGGTTTCGCGGAGAGGCTTGGCCTCAGATGCTTGGAGGTGCACGGCATGAGACTCAAATCAGACACACTCTGGCTCGAGAGCTATTATCTTTGAGGAAGGAATGAGAAGTGTTTGGGGACGACGAATACTCATTTCGGTTCTGTTTGAGACGAAGTTGGGAAATGTAGAGGTGGAATGGAATGGCTGAAAAACGATGCACATTATCACTCGCAGCATCTTCGCCATTGCCGCCGCCATTGCTTTGCTGGTGGTTCCTTGCAGGCACTTGCCAAACTTAAAAGAGTAATGATGATTAATTGGTGGATAAGTTAAATTTAAATTAAGTTATAAAAATGATCAATGAAGTATTTTTTTCAAAATGATTTTTTCTAATTAAAAATGTGTATTTGATTCGAGTTCTAAAAGATTTTTATAGAGTTTTAATACGGAGTAATACATAGATTATGTCTATTCAATGTATTTTTTTAATTTTACATTTAATTGTATAAAATGATCATTTCAAAAATAAACTTTAAATTTAGACGATAGAAGTATCAAAATATTTTTTTAATTAATCATTATTTGAGTAACATTATTTATGAAGGCTGCTACTTGAGAAATAAAACTTAATTATAAAGGATCACGTAGGTCATCAAAATTTATAGATGACCGAATTGGAAAAATACCAAATTACAACGGACCATTTTGGAAATTTACTCTAACAAATAACTTGAACACAAACTACAAAAATTTGTCATTTGTGCACTTTCTTAAGAGAATAAAATGGTTTTTAAATAATTACAAAATAAAATTTGAAATACATATTTCAAATAAAAGTTGTGTAATTTGTATCTAAATTGTTTGTGACTCTATTGATTAAACATTGGAGACGAAGTTGTAAATGAACCAAAATATTTTAATTTGATTCGTAATTCGTATTTGTTTGTAGTGATTTGTATTTGAAAAAATCAAATCTAATATGAAGAGTATTTCTTATTTATTGATGGTATTTGTTTTTCGTTACACTAACGAATAAAAATATGAATATGCTCATTTTCAATTCGCTCCCTACACAAATCTTACTATATACAATGGTAAGATGTGTTTTTCTACAGTGTTTCCGCCCACAACTCTACATTGAGTTATTCCATTTTGAGTTTCATTACGATTATTTGCTTCTTTAATGATGTTTTGTTGATGTTTTGTTTAAAATTAGTATAGATTGTTGATGAATAATGATAACGCACATACGTAGGGGGGGACATTGAGAGAGTTTGGTCCACATTATTTCTAATATTACCGTTCAAGGTGAGTCCAATCATGTACCTTTGTTGTCTCTTTGAGATTAATCTTTTTAACAAACAATTGATCGATAAGTTTTGTAATTGCAGGTGTGAGAACTGGGAGAGCTGTTGCCTCATTTTTGCTGCCTAAATTTGTGGTTATTGGGAACAGAGGGAAAAAGCTTAATGTGTTGTAGTTCCCTGTTGGGAGAACGAAGGATTTGAAAGAGATCTACATTCCTTCTTTCCATGCCGCTGTCGTACTTTACCATTTCATTGCAAGTACAATTGTGTTTGTTAAGTGCATGCATTATAAATTACTCATTGATTGCTTAGCTCTTATCTTGCCTAATGTTCAGTGCAAGTTTTATTAATAAGAGCAATTGTTTGTAGCTATTTTTTGAAAATCACTTTTTTTTGTCAATTGTCCATAGAATTTATAATATCTAAATTAATGTTTGCAAATAAAACTCTAGGAACATTGCCTTATTCTGCCACGATTCCATTAAGCACCAATAGGCTACCAAGTGTACTTGGTGTATGTTCTCCTGAAGTCATTGTCACATGCGCCTGAAACAATCGTTCACTTCCCGTCCAGGTGCGAGGGGTATAACCCTTTAATTTTTCCATCTTCTTACTTTCTAGCTTCTATTTCAGATTTTTCGATAATTTATTAGAATTTCTATGAGTTTTAGTTTGTTGGGGCAAAGGTCATTATACCAAAGGAGCCAAGTTGATCATTTTGTTCTAGATGTTGTTTGACAAGAATTTGAGAATTACAATTGTCTTCAAGGTAATTATTCATTTTATTTTCTTTCAATATTAGATTTTTTTTATTTCTTTTTTAATACAAAGCATATTTATTTGCTCAAACGAAGTATCATCTCTTTTGTTGACAAGTCTTTATTGATGAATCCACATGCTCAGTTATTATATGAATTTTCTGCAAAAAAAAATTATTATATGAATTTTCATGATTTTTAATAGTTTGCAAGCTTTCTATCCACTTAGCAGGCTCTTTGGTTACATCTATTGAATTGAGGTTGTCTTTTGGTTTGGAACTAGCATGCTAGATCACCTCGCACCCCAGATAGACACTCTAATCTCTTAAGAGGCACCAAAGAAGGCAAGTCTGGCTCTTTGCGGTTGTACTTTTGAGGATGTTTTGTTATTTTGGAAGCTCATGTATGTATTTATGTTTTGCAGAGATTTTGTGTGTCAAATTTACACTTTTTAATGAAATTATTTTTTTATTTTGTGTTGTGGAAAGATTATATGGAGTATCTTTTTTCAAGATGTTCTAAGAAAATAAGAATGGTTAATACCTGGAGTACATTTTGGCCACTCTACCTCAAAAGTATATTACTGTACAAAGTACTTTTATATGATTTTCACACTCCGTGTGTTGGATTCTTTTTTGGGCGAGAGAGATGGGTTTGATCCATTCTCAAAGTTGACAATGGTTAAGTCGGACGGCTGATAACAAAAGAGATGGATCGGAATGATAACTCTGTCCATGGACGATGATTAAATTCCTCTAATCCTTTAGGTTTTTGTAACATTTTTCCTTATTGCAAATGATGGGAAATAATACGTGGCTCGGCCCATATTTCCCAATTATTTACAAAGAACAGTTAAACCGGGTCTGTTTAATAAAATAGAGGAATGAGAGAATATTCCTCCGTAGATGCTCTCACCCTCTCCTATAAAAGGGAGGGTTGCCCTAATTGTTGGGGAGGCCAATTAATCCCTTCTCCCTGCCCAATTCTTCTTTCTCTCTCTAGATTATATATTCTTTTTTCTTTCAGTGAGCTGGAAGCTCCACATTCTCTCCATTAATGGCTTCCAAGTCCAACTCTTGTACCATGTACACACCCCCATATATCAATAAAAATCCCCCGTTGGCAAGGTACCGCCAAAAAAGGCACGTGGTTTTCTCCCGATTTGGGTTTCCACGTAAAAATCCCCGTGTTTATATTTTGGTGTGTTTTTTAGACTAGTTTATCGTTTTTTACCGGTTAAAAACGATATACCGGTCGACAATTTACACCATCATTTTGGCGCCACCCGTGGGACCCGAACAAAAAGCTTCATCTTTGTTCGGCCATCTTGCACAGCCGAAAGTGTGAGAAACAAAAAAAAAGAGGAGAGTATGAAGCTTTTCTTGAATTTTGCAAAAAAACAAGAAGAGGGAGAGATCTTGAAGAAAATAGGAAGAATGGTCAGAGGAGCACCACCGTGATTCTATGGTGCTAGATGTCCTTGATCTCTCAAAGCCACCATTTTGCCACAGGGACGGGAGCCACCGCCGCTGCAATCCACCCTCGCAACCTCCGATGAGGATAGCCGCGGTAAAAATCCAAAGTCATTATCAAATAGAGGAAGTTGATTGCTGCCATCGCTGCTCAGATTCGCCGCCGCTGCTCAAACCTACCGTCACCGCTACTCAAATCCGCCGTTGCTGCCGCTGCTCAGATCCATCGCCGTCGTTTCTCAGACCCGCCACTGCCGCTCATCAGGCCCCTCGTCTTTTGGAAAAAGCAGGGGTCCAAAAGGCTTCAAATCCGCAGCGGCGGAAAAATCAAGAATGCCCACATCTTCCGGGATCTTTAGAGAGCCAAGTCCAGGTTGAGAATGGAACCCAGATCCGGATTCTACATTGCTGACGTCGTCAACGGCAAAATCATCCTTCTCACCGGAAACCTCCAAAGAGAAGCCTACTTCAAAACTAGGGAACAAATTCCTGGGGCCAAGGCCTCTAGCCACGGCAAGGACTGAAACATATGCATAGAGAGCTGGATCTCCGGCGATGACCCGATATCGTATTTCTACGTGGACGGCAAATGGGTCCTCCAAATCAAGCATTTGAGGTGGAAATTCAGAGACACCAGGAGAATCAGAATGGACGGGTTCCCGATCTAGACTATCTAGTCTCCTGGGGCGGCCATAAATGGCTGTTCAGATTCAAGGAAGAAGGTCGCGGCTAGGGCGAGTGCCGCTCACGCGCCGCCGGGAGAGCGGGGAATAGTTGCGGGTTTGGGCCTGAGACGAAGATGATGAAGAAGGTACTGCTCGGGACGGTGAAGAGCTCGTCGATGTTGGCGTCTCGTCGTCGGCGTCCTGTAGTTCCGTGATGGAGTGGACCGGCGCAGAGGAGAGCAAACTCAGCTCACCGGGTTCTCTTTATTGGGGTACAGAAAGGTTATTAACTTTTTCCTAGTGCCTCTCCCCTTGGCCAATAAGCACCAGCTGGATTTCACTGCCAAAGAAGAAAAGTGTGAGAGCAAAGAGTTAAAGTATGCTGGACAAATTCAAGCACGTGAATGCCTTATTCTTAACAAAGATATGGGCCCACCATTAATTAATGAAAAGAAGGGGGCACTTGATTTTAAAAGCATCCAAATCGAGTGGACGAAGAATTCACATGGAAATTGGGAAAAGTACAAGACATGCCATTATCTTGGTCCCACAAATCATTGCATGAAGTTCACCTTCAAATAATTGCATCCTTTTTTGTTTCATACGGTTACAAAAATGGGAAAGGAAGACTGAGACACAGGCCCGAACCTGGCACGCCGGTTACTACACCGGTCTTGCTCAGTATAAAATAAAAAAATAATAAACCCGGAAGAGGGGCCCGGAAGAGGGTATGCCTGCAAGAGGGCTGGACCTGGAAGAAGGTTCGAACCGTACTTACACGGGCCCATGAGGTTTGACCGGTATCGGGGAATCAGCCGGTGCCGTCAAATTGATTGGGGACTAAAAGATGCCCATTAAAAGAAATAGAAAGGGATCGTCCACCGTGGCGCATCCTATTTCCCCCTTCTCAGGGAAGACTTGAACGGGGGGNCGGTCTTGCTCAGTATAAAATAAAAAAATAATAAACCCGGAAGAGGGGCCCGGAAGAGGGTATGCCTGCAAGAGGGCTGGACCTGGAAGAAGGTTCGAACCGTACTTACACGGGCCCATGAGGTTTGACCGGTATCGGGGAATCAGCCGGTGCCGTCAAATTGATTGGGGACTAAAAGATGCCCATTAAAAGAAATAGAAAGGGATCGTCCACCGTGGCGCATCCTATTTCCCCATTCTCAGGGAAGACTTGAACGGGGGGTGAGCTAAGGTCTTCCCGGGATAGTAAATATCAAAGGGCCATTAAAAGACTTAATCACCCGGAAGAGGGGGCCCTGGAAGAAGGGTGCATTTTGGGCCTTGGAGAGGGCTCGAAACCATCCGACATGGTTAATTCTCCAATGTTGATTTGGCCCGGCCAGCAGCATTATCTTATTGGAAGACTGAGACACAGGCCTGGCCTGGCACGCTGGTTACTACACCGGTCTTGCTCAGTATAATAAAGAAAATATGTGACCCAGTCGAACTGGTACACTGGTCTCACACCGGTCTTACACATATTTTCTAATAAGTCTGAGCCCAATCGAATTGGGTACACCGATTGCACATTGGTTTCAGCAGAAAGTGAGCAAAGCTCACATCGGGGACGCCCGATTCATTTAAGCCCTCAATCTGAGGCACTTTGATCGAAGATGGTCTCCGCGAGACATGAAGATATTTACATCAGTCAGCCAGGCTAACGCTGATCTTCAACAAAGCTACCGCATCAGATTCAATTCTTATTAACTAAGGTCATTGTCATCGGTATACTAATTTCGTCACGCATCGTTTGCTTGACTCGTATTAACACCGACCTCGACGAAATAACTTTTCGAAGCATCGTTGCTTTATCGAACTGACATCGCTCTCGTTACGATAATTATTCGCGCGAATCTTAATCATCTAACACTGAGCTCCTCGGTAAACATAATAATTTTTTGAGCACGGCATAGGCCAGTCAAAAAAAAAAATGTTGTACAAATTATTTTTTGCAAGAAAAAACTTCTGATTCAAGGAATTAGAGAATTAATGAAGACTCGGAGGACTAGCAATAATATCTACCGGTCAAGAATTCAAAGTACGAAGACTGAAGATCACACTCGGAGGACTTGTTTACTTTTTTAAGTTGATGATTCTCACAACTCAAAAAAGTGGAGGACTTCTTGATGGGAAATAATACGTGGCTCGGCCCATATTTCCCAATTATTTACAAAGAACAGTTAAATCGGGCCTGTTTAATAAAATAGAGGAATGAGAGAATATTCTTCCGTAGATGCTCTCACCCTCTCCTATAAAAGGGAGGGTTGCCCTAATTGTTGGGGAGGCCAATTAATCCCTTCTCCCTGCCCAATTCTTCTTTCTCTCTCTAGATTATATATTCTTTTTTCTTTCAGTGAGCTGGAAGCTCCACATTCTCTCCATTAATGGCTTCCAAGTCCAACTCTTGTACCATGTACACACCCCCATATATCAATAAAAATCCCCCGTTGGCAAGCTACCGCCAAAAAAGGCACGTGGTTTTCTCCCGATTTGGGTTTCCACGTAAAAATCCCCGTGTTTATATTTTGGTGTGTTTTTTAGACTAGTTTATCGTTTTTTACCGGTTAAAAACGATATACCGGTCGACAATTTACACCATCAGCAAACATTACGTAGTTATATGTTAACTAATAGCCCGTGCATCGCACGGGTACGAGTCTAGTATATTTAAAAAAAGGAGCCAAAATAGTAAATATTAAAAAATAAATAGGAAATTCAATAATTGCCTAAAAATCAAATTTAGTCCGTATTCCCTATGTTTTTATTTTCATATTCAATATGTAAATTGCAATTTATAATTTTTTTCCTCAATAGCAAATTCCAAACTATACTCTTACAAAAAGTTTTGGAAAAATAGTTTAATATAATTTACATTTTTAAGGAGTAAATTAAATGTTTAAAAGATATCTTAAAATTTAAATGAACTTAATATTTTTAAACGAATTAAAGATTTAAACAAACTGAAAACGAATTGAATACAAATCTCTAAAAAAAATTAAACGAATACAAATACAAATACAAATACAAATACCATCTAAAACTAACAAATACGAATAATATTCATCACTACTCAATTCAATTCGGTTATTTACAACCCAACATTGTAGTGATAGTAACAATTTTTTCATGATTATTGTAATACATAAGAGGCAAGCAATGAAGCAATCTAAGGTTGTGAAAACCACAAAAAACATGTTACAAATGAATATATGTATTACAATTGAAAATGTTGTTGGTACTTCTTGGTATTAAGAACAGTTGAAAGAGAACACAAGAGAAAACGAAGTCAAAGAATTAAGAAACTCTAAACTGCTGTATAACCTTAGGAAGAAAAATCTGGGACACGTTTTTCTCATGGTAGACACTAAAATATAATATAGATTCACAAAACCATTGAACTACTGCACGAAGGATGATGCTATTACCCAAGGTGCATTTCAAAACCTAACCCGAAATCCACTTCCAAACACCACCTGACTTCTGGCCCTGGGAAACTCCGAGTTCCATATCGCGTTCCATTTCATACTTCTGCTTCCTAAGTTCTTCAACCTCTTCCTCTACCGATTGCATCGACTCCAGCATCTTGCGTAGCTCAGTTATTTGTGCCTGAAAAGTTGGGGTGAAACAAGTTTGAGATTTGCACAAGTCAAGAAAGTGAACTGTGGAAGAAGGGTATAACCTCCAATTTTGCACATCTTGATCGCTCGGATGTCAGCTGACTCTGAACTGAATGAAATTCCTGAAACAGTAATTGAGCATGGCTAAGAACCCAGAGCTATAATGCATATATATACCAGAACTAGTGTTTTAGTCTGGGTTGGTTTCGTGTGCACTGTGAACCGGTTGAGTGAATTTCATCATGGTGGCATTAGCAGTTTAGCCCACCTCGTTTGTTCGAGTTAACAGCCTGTTGCACTGCTTGAGGGGAAGAGTAAACTGATTAGTTCACCTCATGACTTGAGTGGGAACAAAAGTTTCCACATTTCAAGTGGCTAACCAGTTATATTCAAAATAGCTTCATAGTCCATTAAAAATCCTGGTTTGAAAATATGAGTGATGTTCTTTTGACATCATTCATGGGCGTCATAATATGACACACGCCATTTGAGAACCCTACGATGCTTCGTTCGATGACTTTGACCCCAAAGTGACCCCCCCCCCCATTGCCCTTTCCCTTCCCCTAGTCCACTGGGTTTCCCCTTTATGCTATAGTTTAAGGCAGGGGCGGGTTGGGGGTTCGAAAGGCCCTCAAAGTGCCCAATGTCATATTATGACACTGCCCCTCGCTGTAAAAAACCTCTTTTCAAAAATATATAGAGAAATACTGGGTAAATTTCACCAATGGTACCTGAATTTTAGCTGGAATTTCGAAGTGGTACCTAAACTTCAAATCCTTTCAAAAAAATCCCTGAACTTACACAATCCTTTCACTAAAAGTCCATTTGCCCGTTTCTAGGTTAACTTCCGGTCATTTGGGCCAAACTAGAATTTTAAATAATTTAAAATTTTCAATTTGACCCCATTTCTTTTGTTTTTTTTCTTCCGCTCCCCGCCGCCGTCACACCACCTCAAACTCGCCGGAAAATCAACCTGGTCCGATTCCGGCGGGACCAACGTCATTCTCTTCGTCTTGAGACGAGGATCAAGAATATCCAAACCATTTTGTCCGATTTGGCCTGTAACTCCTCGAATTTGAACTTTTTCACTCGAAAAAACCCTAAAATCCGAAATTGGGTCCGAAATTGGGGGTTTTGCAAATCGTCATCAAATCTTGCAATTGAGGGGTCCTTGGAGGTCGCCGTGATGCCACGAACACATTGGAGGGGATGACCGGCGTCAATTTCGCCGGATTTAGCAGGAAAACGCTCCGACCCGCCAGCGGTTTCCGGCGGGTCGGAGCGTTTTCCGGCCAACTCTGGCGAAATTGACGGCGGGCATCCACTCCAATGCGGTCGTGGCATCTGGGCGACCTCCAAGGACCCTTCAATTGCAAGATTTGATGAAGATTTGCAAAACCCCCAATTTTGGACCCAATTTCGAATTTTAGGGTTTTTCGAGTAGAAAAATTCAGATTCGAGAAGTTACAGGCCAAATTAGACAAAATGGTTTGGATATTATTGATCCTCGTCTCAAGACGAAGAGAATGACATTGGTCCTGCCGGAATCGGAAAAAGTTCATTTTCCGGCGACTTTGACCGGCGGGGGCGGCGGCGGGGCCTGGAAGAAAAGAAAAGAAGAAATGGGGTCAAATTGAAAATTTTAAAATATATAAAATTCGAATTTGGCCCTAATGACCGGAAGTTAACTTAGAAACGGGCTAATGGCTCATTAGTGAAAGGATTGTGTAAGTTCAGGGATTTTTGTGAAAGGATTTGAAGTTCAGGTACCACTTCGAAATTTCAGCTAAAGTTGAGGTACCATTACTGAAATTTACCCAAAAACGGGTAAATGGACTATTAGTGAAAGGATTGTGTAACTTCAGGGATTTGAAAGGATTTGAAGTTTAGGTACCACTTTGAAATTCCAGCTAAAGTTCAGGTACCATTGTTGAAATTTACCCAATTTGGCCCAAATGACCAGAAGTTAACCTAGAAAAGGGCAAATGGACTTTTAGTGAATGGATTGTGTAAGTTCAAGGATTTTTTTGAAAGGATTTGAAATTTAGGTACTACTTCGAAATTCCAGCTAAAGTTCAGGTACCATTGGTGAAATTTACTCGAGAAAAACTTCATAATTGACAACTCGTTTATAATTGACCAATGCATAATTTAGAAAGGTTTGGCCAATATGTGTTATCGCCTCAGTTGGGTGATCACAACTAATTTATAATTTACAAAATTAGAGTACCTTGGATAAGTCCGCATAAGTGATGTTAACTTCATCAACCTTTGCCTTGAGAGCAGAGTTCTCTGCTGTAACTTCAGCAAGAGATGATTCCAATTCCTTTTTCTCTTCTCTAATCACACCAATCTCATAAGATAAATCCTTTTGGGAGGTACCATTCCTGAATTCCTTAAAATTTGAATCTTCGCTTGCAGTTAAGTCCAATTTTTCAGGTCTAGTCAAGGCATAAGCCGCAGTGACGGAAGCTGCAGCAGCTGCAGCTGCTGGTGACACAAGTATCTTGGGAAGCAATGAATCTCTTGGTTTAGGCCTCATAACAAATACCTGCATTTGAGATGTTGTATACCATTTTAGCCCTTATACTTGACATGTACAAGGTGTCTAATGCTCTTAGGTAAAGTAAAACAAGTTCTTTAATGGAAGAATATTCCAAAACATTAATTGATAGAAAAAATGTACTCCGGACTTAAACAGAGCCAATATTTATAAAAGTACCTCATTGTTGTATTTTCCGTTATAGCCGCCAAATGCAACCAAAAAATTCTCGCCATCTAGTAATGCTGAGGATACAGTTAGTCCCTGGTTCAAATATCGTATGACGCATAAGAAATTGTTAATTATATGTAGTATTGTCTTACATCAATGTCTTACACCGGACTGAAAACTAGGAAGCAGTGGAGACAAAAGAAACAAAAAACAAGAGGACAGCTACTCATGCTAAATAATGTGCATCAAGTCATGCATTTTTACTGTTTTACTTCACATAGGCGCATAGCCTATTCCAGAGCCTAAATATCTTGTTCAAATTTATCTACTCCCTTCTAAGAAAAGAGTTATATTTTAAGAACTTTTTATGACGAGAAAAAGGTCATATTTCATCAAACAATGCTAATTTTTCATGTAAATCACACAGGAGTCACAAACTGGCTAAATATGATAAATTTAATTAAACCAACAATATTTAAAAAATATAACCACGACTAATGATTTAAAGCAGTTGTACATTGTAGAAAATTGAATGAAAAGTGTACCTTGTAAAATAGGAATCATTTTTGGGACAGTATTATTTTTCTAATATTTCTCTTTGTTGGCACAATGATTCTTCAATGAAGCTACAATTTACCTATCTAAATAGATCATACTAGTGCACAAGGCCTGGAGAAGGTATCAATGTATGGAGTGTTACAGCCTAACAACTTCCCAGTCTGCCTAACTATGTCCCAAAAATTCATGTGGAAATAAAAAGAAGAAACAAGAATGTGTCACTTCTCATAGCTAGAAAGTTAGAAACTTCAGATAAAAAACACACACAACTGAGAGGAAATGGTACTTGTGTGTGTTGCAGGAGATGCAGTTAATTGCACATATGGCTACCACATTCACCAAAGAATGGAACTTAAAGCAATGAAATAGGCAAATAGCTAACAATATTCGGAACATCAGGGGGGAAATGGATTCATGGATTTGTAAGAACGTCGAGAAAAAAAAGTACAAAAATGTTTGGAAGATAGTTACCTCACTAGCAAGTGGATCTCTCCCCTTGACACTTGTCAACACTGACACGACAAGCTTAGACATATTCAAAACAAGAGTTTCTGGCACACCTACAAACACAATAGAAGCTCTTCAATATACATGTACGTATCCATCGTAAACAAGAACCTGAGACACCCCCGATCACACAGTACCACTTTTGTTATCTCCACCACCAACTATGTACCAGTTCTCGTCTATGATGACCCCAGCATGACCAGCTCGTGAGCCAATAATATCGCCCTGAAGTTGGGGGCAAGACCATTCCATCTAATACATAAAAAGCAAACATGTTACGGTGTTGCCCTAAATGCAATACGATTTTGTTACAACTGATAAGCCTCATATGACTTGCTATTGTAACTATGTAATGACAGAAGAAGGCGTAGGATGCTTAAGTAGCAGATACATAGCATCTTTAAGCCATTTCTAGACCATAACCATTAAATTATAAAGAGAAACATCATTCCATGCCTCAAAAACTACAAACTTTGTGTAAAATAGAAAAAATGGAACGGATATCTAAAACTCTAAAACTTATTTTGCATCTTGATACCATGGAAAAGACGACTCCATAATAAATATAAAATTCAAACTACATCAAACCAGAAAAACTTACCGTTTCCAAGTCCAGAACATGCAGATCATTGAAAAAAACTGAATGAGAACACCCGCCAAAAATTAGAAGGTAGTGATCTTCATGTAGTGCAGCCGTGTGATCAAATCTGGGAGACGGGGGTGTCTGCCTATCAAGCCAAAACAGTGTGATTAAGAACTCTTCACGATGCATACGCTAAAGTTTGATGCTACTAAATTTGTCACTTACGTGGTCTCCACATAACTCCATGTCTTTGTCTCAAGATCAAGAACATGAATATCATTCAATAACCGCCGGTTCCTATCTTCACCACCAAACATTATTAGCTTAGAACCAAAGAGTGTCACAGATTGCCCACCACGAGCTACCTGAATATGTGTTTCAAACAAGTTAGGAAATTAAGACAACAAAAGAACAGCCTAAAAATGATGTATGAATGAAATGGGTCTGACACTCACTTCACCCAACCCCACCCCAATTGACAAATTTCGGGCAAGCTAAATACATATGGTTGTTCTCTTTAAGATAATTAATAAAAGTAAGGCAGACAGACACTAAATATAATGTTTCTGAGAGAGACAGATATTTACTGGTGGTGTTCCATAGGTCTCCATAATAGAACAGTTGTGTGATTCCAGATCAATCACCCTAACTACAAAAAAAGATCAACAATAATGTGCACAGTCAAAATGTTGAGCACATGGCTTTTTCTGTCACGTTGGAAGCTTTGACAAGTGGCAAGAAATCAAACCTATAACAGTATCAGAAACACTTCTTGAGTGGCCAGCAAGAATCAGCAATTTGTGATCCCAGCTAATCTATCAATGAAGTAAAGGTCATTATTATAACTTCATCACGTGGGCTGAGCAAAAAGTAGATTATAGATTAACTGTAATGAATCTCACCATAGAATGGCCAGATAGAGCTGGAAGAACATCTGTGGTTGATTTTATTGTAAACCATGCCAATGTTTTAAGATCAAATACCTGAAGATTGGATGATTTCTTATCAAAAAAAATTCATAATCTAATATTCATGAGAACTTATAAATATGCATTGGCCACATTTCACGGATTTTGAGAATAATGGGAACAATCTAATTCTTAGAGATGATACCCCATTGATTGAGCCTTTAG